CTGTTGAATCGATTTCCGGGACTGAAACATATAGTGCATGATGATGTGGCATACAGCTCCGAAGCGTTGCGGGAGGAGTGCCTTGAGCTCAGCACTTGCATATACAAGAGCATGGAGTATCTGCTGCAGGAAGACTTTATGCTGTATGGTATCTCATCAGCTGGGTTCCCGTTGAGCATGGCTTGTGAGGCGCTCCAGGCGGATGCGGATGGGCGAGCGATTATGGCGACGCTGGATCAGTCGATTATTACTCGGGCGAGGCTGAGAAACCTATGAGTCTGCGTATTTGAGACTACTTATGAGGGAGTCAGAACCAACCAAAATGAATGAAAACTCTCGGTCCTGGTACAATAGTGTATTGTATTGGTAGAAACAAAAATTAAGGTTACATTACAAGCATACATCATCATGAACATCGTCATCCCTCTCCTCCCAACCATCAAACCCTCAGTTATTACATTGCGCCCCGTCCGTCATGTTGATCTCAGTATAAACCAAATGATCCTGGTTGATAAAGCCCGTAGCAGTTCCCTTGTTGCAATCCGGCGCTTCCTGACCAAAGCAGCGGTACGTTGTCCCAGCACTCTGAGTACCTAGAATGGGTGCAGTGTCTTGCTCATAGATCTCTGTGCGCGTGTGCACGAAACCCATGGGGGTGAGCGGTAACCCGGGTACGCCGTCGATTCGGTGCGTGATACGGATGAGAGTGCCGAGTTGGGTGTCGCTTGCGCCAGACAGCTTGTCAGTGTAGTCGGCGTACTGTTGGTTGCCGACGCGCAGCGAGCCCATGGTGTATGCGATCTTGATTGGTACGCCGTTGGCTTTGAGGTCGGTGTACGCGATACTTGCCAAACCACCTCCTAGGCTGTGACCGGTGATGATGGTGGAGTAGGACGGCTGTTCAGCACGTAGTTCGGCGAGGGCCTGGATGACACCAGCCTGAACAGATCGCCAGCCTTTCAGAACACCGCCGTGAACCTGGCAACCCGTGCAGCCTGGTGCCGAATCAAAGGGCATGAAGAAGAAGTTGAAGTCTGTTCCGAAATCTTGTAGTGAAGATGACCCAGCGAAGGAGACGATGAATTCCTTGGCGGCGTCATCTTGGAAGACGGCGACTTGGGTGTCGTTTACGATGTCGGAGACGACTTTCCGGACTAGTTTTGATCCGAAGGGAGGGCTTTTGCAGGTTCCGAAGCCGTAGACGAAGGTGGCGAGGGAGGCGACGGCGTATCTGGTGTATCGTTGTAGGACTGGGTAGAACTCGGGCTGAACTGATGGGAGTAAGCAAGCGATCATGGCGCATACAACCCGTATATCATACTGAGTTCTTTGGGTTTTGTCTGCCTATTGACGACTCCCCTAACATCTGGTGGGGCAGCCTGGACAAAGGGTGCGGCGAGAGCGGCAACGGCAAAGGTGGAAAGCTTCATGATGATCGAATGGTACAATACTCACCAACAACTCTCTCATCAAGGCGACAACGCATTATATACATACACAGCCCTGTCAATGACTCCACTCCCCTCCCTGAACGCTTCCGCCATCCCAAGGCACCTAGCACAACTCCCAAAACCAGCCATTCTGAGTCGTTCAAGCACCGCGCCGTGCAGATCGCAAGCTACCAGCTGTCAGGTACGCCGCACGACTCCGCCTCACAAGCTCCAACCCCGAACATGCCATCCTCCTAAAAGGTTGCAGGTGGAGTCTGGTGGCGCAAACTAATCGCCGTGAGAGGCTCGGACCTGCGCCTGGATAGTTCAGGGCACGTAGCGCCTGACCGATCGCCATGTTCGCACTTTGTTTTGCCGCTACGCCGCCGTGTTAGTGTATCGAAAACCACAATATACACTTCCGGGCAGCTTCGCATTCGCTTTCACGCACGTGTAATCCGGAGTAAGTCGCTATGTGGTAAACGGGAACGGCCGGCTGCGCGTGGTGTTGTGGAGTTGGTATGTTTGTATGGGGGATCGCTACAGGCTTGTTGGTGATCGACCCCGCACTGGTTTTCTCCGCTGTCTGCCGTCGCGTCGACTTGCCGTTGGGGCCTAGGTAACTTTCGCTTCATGTAGCTGCGCATGCAGTATCGCACGGTTATACATGCGGTGAAGTTGAATGTTCCGACTGTATCAGTCCAGTAACCCGTGGACACGTGCGTGGCGAAGGGCGTCTACCACGCTCAAGCCGGACGCGACGGCGAGTTCTCGAGTCACCTCAACGGCGTGAAGCTAGAGGTTGAACAGGACGTTGTTCCGGAAGTCTAGAGCTATAGAGCAGATAATACCCAGCGCCCGGATACGTAGGATGTAATCATTCTCGACGTCGGACTAGCATGTGGAGGATTACAAATGTAATCGGAGGGTTCTCCTCCGTCTGGCAAGCAGCGTCGTTCATGGAATTTGGAAAAATAGCTAGATACCTCGGCCTTTACGATGTTGAACGATGGGAAATACCGCAATGGCTGATTCGTTCTCTGACTCAGGTTTTGCATGTTGCCATGCCATCGTCTGTCCCCGCGCAACTCATAGGCAACCAGTAACTTCCGCGAAGATCTCATCGCATGTGCCTACACCACGACACTCTTCTCTATCCTGGCAACAATGACCTCACACATATCGCATTCCCATCATCTACACACTACTCAACGGTTCGGAGGAAACTCTAGCGACCATCACTACCGCATCACCCGCATAAGGTTGGATAACAAGGTTTGCGGGCTGTGGAAGCGGGTATTCAGCGTTTCAGCAGCTCACGGCTGGGTTACGCACGTCATTTACGTTGCGAGAGCAGGCAACTAGATTATATTGTCGGCAGAAGGAACTTTGCATTACGGTACACGATCTACCAGGTGTCTGTTGGGTTTCAATGACTAGCTACCTGTAGCTGCGCTGCTTTCTCCGCCAATACCGGTCTTACTCCAAGAAAGGATCATGATACAACTGATGTAGAGGCGTGAAATCATAGTCCTCAGTGTCGAGTTCTCCCTGGACGAGACTTTTGGCATAAGATTTCCAAGCGTATTTCGGTTGACCCCCCAACTCAGTGCCAATGCGGTAAGCCTCCTCTTCGAACTCCTTCAGACTGCCTACAGGGCAAGACAGCCGCACTGTAGAATCGCCAGACAAAATCAGCCGTACGGAAGTAACAAGGCGCCATTCATGGCGTTTCTCGAAACTGAGATAGTAGGCCTCCGGGAAAGCCGATCTGAGAGAGGGAGGGTTGTCAGTCTGGTGATATTGACGTTTATATGCAAGAGAAAGCGCCGCAAGCGATCTGATGGCATTCCATACGCGCTGTGCGGTCTTGACATTTGCTTCGAGATGGAGGGCATAAGCAAATGGGGGCATTCCAGCGTGTCGTAAATCCATCGCCTCGATGATCCAGTCAATGATCTTGAACGCAGCGCGCAATAGCGAGCATGTCGGCCTTTCTTGTAGCGAAGGTATTCGAGAAGCATTGATCCATCCAAGCATCGCGTGAGAATTCAGGAAGCTTCCGTGATGCGTCAGTATAGAACGTCAGATTGCAGACTTGGGGTTTGACTCACATGGCACTCCACATGTCAACACGATGAACAACGCGTAACCGCGGAAGATCCTTCAAGTAAGGAATGAGACCGTGCGCATGGCATCGTGGTAACGAAGAACATTTGCGATCTTCGCGTATGTCTAGATGACGTAACCGGGACCGCTGAAGGTGTGACAGCGTGCCGAGAAAGTGAATGCTCTGCGAGGCGGCCGACTCATAATATCGGAGCTCTTTCCCACCATCGAGATTTACTGCTCCGTGACTTCCGTTTGAAAGAAACGCCAAGAGGTCGCTCGCCTCTTTGATCTGCACAGCTGTAGGCGTTACCCAAGGTGGCCATTGTGTGGAGGAGAATGTTGAAGATGCGATCTCAAATGCGCTCCTACGCACATGGTCCGTAAAATAGATCCAACTCCTGATGTAGTAGGGCCACCTGATAAGATTCCATGATCTGAGCCATTGGGGAAGACCGAAATGAGAACATATATACTCAAGTGCGTCTCGTAGAGCTAGGCGGTCCGCGTAACTCACTACGTGTATAGTTCCTACTGCGGTGTCTGGAAGATCACAGTGCCGTTGCTTCATTTGTACCCACAATTGGAGTTGAGCACGAATACCACTCTGAGGATACTGTTTGGAGATGTATTCAGTCAGTTCCTCGGCACCTGCGAAGAATAGTCAGTTGGTGACTAGTCCGTTCATGTGTTTGCATATGTGTATGAAGATCGACCTACCATATGCATCGATTGCTATGCGAAAAGCACCAATCTTCTGCTGACCCAGTCGACGTAAGACACCGTTGTAATGGCTAACTGTAGACTGCAACGACGATCCAATCACACCCTCTACTCCTGTAATAACTGCGATATGCGTTTTGAATTTGATGGTGTTTTTACTAAAAGTGAATTCTGTTGCCTCCGCCGCGACTTGCTTGCAAGTATACAGGAGTGCGACGTCGATAGCTGTGCCGTCAAGGTAGCGTAGTGTGTTGGTATCTGGATGATGATGGTAGCCGTCGTCGCCGATGAAGTAGTGAGTATAGATCTCGTCGCGAAGTTCCCGAGGCATGCGAAGAAGATGGCAGGTCTGAGGCTGCGAAGCTGCCATGGTGTAGAGCTGGTAGTCGGACGGATGGCGAAATCTAAATAAAGGGAAAAGAGATCAGTACATATGAAGAAGGTCTTCAAGCGCGTTCCACGGTTGGGAACAAACTCTCTGCCAGCTGTCCTTAGGCAGCAGCATTGCCAAAGTGTGGTACTGAATTTTGCAACCTATGTTTTCGCGGCGCTGAAACCATGGATGGCCGAAGAACAAAGTTTCAAACATGGGTGCCTGAATCGGTGCGCCTTTCGGATGCGTGATGTGTATTCCTTGTGCGCAAGATGCACCTACGCTTGGTATAATGCTGGTTCGACCAATCATGGTGGTACAACGCCAATACATGTAGTATACATCCACCAAACCACGGCCCACGCTCACTTGCCGCCCACTCTCTTGTTCTTGAGCTTGATAGTCTCTCCGTTGACGAAAATACCCTTGCCCTTGTACGGCTCTGGTACCCTCCAACTCCTGATCTTGGCTGCGAACTGCATGACCACCTCCTTCTCCGGTCCCTCCAACAGTAAACGTGTCGGCTGCGGTGTGCTCGCGGTGACGCCCTTTGGTATGGCCAGTTCGACTGGATGTGTGTATCCGACCTTCAAGTTGACGAACTTCTGGCCGGGGAATTCGGACTTTACGGTAGTCGCGCTGTCTTCGACCGAGGCACGGTAACCGACACCGTTGAAGCGTAGAATCGCACTGTGTCCTTCGCTGACACCGAGGATGTGGTTCTGGAGGTATGCGCGGGTGGTGCCTGGGTCTGTGTCAGCGAATTGCGCGGCCCATGGTAATTGCAGCGCTCTTACCCCACATTGCCTTTTGTTTCGCATCTTTCCCGTCTTCGATTGTCAACGTCGGCCCGCCCAATGCCGGGTCCTGGTTGATATTGACGTATGGCGGGATAGCCATTGAAAGCTCGCCCAATGGTCCCTTGATGTGTACTGTAGACATGGCCTGCACTCTCGCACTTCTCGCCTTAGCGGAAGGCGCGACCACCTGGAACGTGACTCCCTGGGGTATGGAGAGCGGTAAAGACCCGATCTTGGATTGACATGATGCCGTCGAGGTAAAGGTCCTGGTCGGCGCGGGCCTGGAAAATACGGGCAGCAGGAAAGTCGGTATTGAGTCGCTGCTCTGGCTCGAGGCCTTTGCGAAGCTTTGGGCGCACCGCCGTCGTGCTGGGGCGAACATGTTGATTTGATGCCGGCAATGATTATCGCGAGAGTTTTCGGAATCTCCAACTCGCTGCTAGCTCATCCAGTCTCGTGATAGCGCGTCATCGACGTCCCTGATTGGTTGGGCGGTCGCACCTTCCCACGAACACCCCTCAACACCACAACACCACAACACTCCAGCCGTCATCACTCCCTGGGGAACCTGCTGTATAATGCAGCGTCAAATTTCGACGCTTATACTTCGACTGACCGTCCTCTCACCCAGGCATGTGCCTCTTGATCGTCAACTAACAGCGCGTGCTCTTACCCCAGGTTTGGCCTCACCTTCCTGTCGCGGCAGGCGTCATGCTTCAGGCTCTTCAACGTTGCGTCTTCTCCGCTCTCTTACCATATCGTGAACTCACATGGTCACTACTAATAGAAATCTTACCATCCTTGACCTCTCGCCTTCTTCTCTTGTTCTACTGTCTTCTACTTCCTGGCTCCTGCTTTATCTCGCCAGCTTTCCGTGCCGTGCTTTCGATAACCCTGACTGCTCACCAGCGAACCGCCCATATGGAATTCCAACATGGACTCATCAAGGCGAAGCTGATCATCATGTGGCTTTCCCTCCTGCCTGCAGTGTTCTCTCATTACCACTCCCCGCCGGCACATGCAGCTCCAACCGTCAACGTGGATTCTTTGTTCCAATACACGACATCCAGGAACCACAAAGTGATCACACAAGCAGTCGACTTCGTCGTTTCCATGCAGACAGCACCGACTTGCACTCGCATGGCTGCTTCCCATTTGATGAACGAGTGCAAACTCTTGGAACATGCACCAGACTTCGCCAAATCTCGCCCGGAAGCGTATCTGGACAACGTTAAAACTGAGTACGCCGCTAAACTAGCTGTATGCGAACTGCTCAGCGCTCAGCCGGTGAACCCAACACCACCGGCAAACTGCGACATCCTCGTCCCGGCATCCAGGCATTGCGGCAAAGGCGGTAGCTGGTGGCACGCCCGGCCAGAAGCTCCCAGCGACAAGCAATGCTACCCTGACTTCAAAGAGTATCAATACACCCAATGCCTCAAGAGTCTGCAATCGACCCCTCAGTACTGGACATCATTCAGCAACGCCCGCCAAAACGCAGTGGTCATGTGCCAGGCCAGCAGAGATGTCATCGAGCGAGAAAATCACCTCGAGATATTCAAGAACCTGACTCAGGTGCTGGGTGATGTGACAACGAACATGCAAAAGACGACTGAGGAATATGAGTCGTTGATCCGCGAGCAGAGGCAGTATTCCGAGGAAGCTCGCGATTCTCATCAGCGGCTCAAAGAAGACATCCAGACGGTTCAGGAGAAGGCCGTCACCACGGTTGGCGCTCTAGACGACAAGTTTCGTACTTTCATGGAGGTGTCAATTTCGGATCTCATCACAGCTCTAGCCGAGAGTCAGAGCAACGAGATTGACCAGATACATGCGAAGATGCAGGACTTCTCGCAGGAGTTGATACTGGAAAGCTCACAGCTTGCGAAGCAGTTCACTGGCGAACTCCAACAATATCACGACCTGGCCAGAACCAGTATACAATCCAACCACGAGGCGCAAGTCGACAGCTACACTGTTCTAGCAGGCTACATGGGCGTCACACATAATACCATCAATCGAACGAACGATATCGCAGATCGCTCTCTTGCTACAGTCGACAGTATTGCGCAACGTCTGGACATCTTCGAGACCCAGACTGAACACATTGCCGAAGGTTTTGCTTTCCTAAATGCGATACCAGCACTTGTCACACTACTCGTCCGCAGCTTCATAGCCATGGTCGGTACATTGTTCATCTTCACTGTCCTGTACAAACTCAACACCAGACTTGCAGCCTACACTGCCGGCGCTTGCAGTTCAGCTTTCCTCTTGCACACATGCGGCATTTTTGACTGGATTGGCGATCTTCCCTCCCGCATAGCCAAAGTTCACAACCAACCTCTTGCGATTGTCGCTGGAATGTCATCTTGGCAGAAAGGTGCAGGCATCGTGCTTCTCCTCTGGCTCGCCGCATACCCGGTATGCCGCATCAACGCCTACCTCGGAAGTCTCATTGCTGCGACCCTGAAGCGGTTTCTCAGTCCATTCTGGATCAGCGAGTATAGCAACGAGAACGGCACGGGTTTCTTGCCCAGCATCGAGATCCCCGCTGCATATCCTCGTCGTGCCGATAACCGATATCACCAGGATGGTGTTGGCTATCGCAACTATCCGGACTACTCGAAGTCGGCCTCACCACCTTGTGACATCTAGCAACCAGTGCGTGCGGCAAATTATCCGGGGTTCTCAACGTCAACGTCAACATATCATCACCACATTTACGACACATATCTCTAAACGACTTCTCAGAAAGCGTTACTTGTACCAAGAATCATCTTCCATCGGTCGATATATATTCAGCTCGCGATATACCCTTGACATTTCTTACCGTTTCATGACAGCATTTCCACGGCGTTGGAGCGATATCTCATATCTTACTTGGTGATCTCAGCATATTATATCAGCAAAAAGGCGGAGTGGAGGAAACTGGGTAACTTGGCGCATGTATGGTAGAGACCTTATAGTTATCTTTCCATATCATCAATCCATAGTATAGTCCCTCCCTAGACCAATGAAAGATCTATGCATGCGATGTGGTCTGCTTCATTGACCACGTGCCGCACAACCCAACCCTCAATCCGACTCATCATCCGGCAACTCCTGAATCCTCCCCGACCGATACGCCTCCTCAACCGGATTCTGCACATCCATCACACCCGTCGCTTTCAACCTCTCAAACAGCACAAACAACCTCTCAGCCTCCCTCTCCTTCTCCTCCTGGCTCATAGGCTCCATCTCCACATGCTCCTCCCTATCCAACCTCTGCCCCGTAATCGGGTTCACAGGTATACCCTCTGCGTCACCCGCCGCCGTAGTATTCGCCTTGACCAAATCCTCAGGCATACTTATATTATTCGACATGAGGAAACCCGACGCGTAGCCATAGCCTACGTTATAAACGAATGTCGCTGGGTCTTTATGCGAGAGCTCGAAGAGCATCGAGGAGATTGAGCCGCGCAGCGCGGGCGTCAGGGCGGAGGTGGAGAGATTGAGTAACCGGGAAGATAAGGTGTTTGATTTCCCGAGCGGCTTATCGCGTTCTTCGGTTGTGGGGAGCAGCATTTCCTCCATCGTTTTTTTCACGTCTTCAGGTGCGAATTCGTAGATACGGCGGATGAGCGTTAGAACGGGGGCGACGGCGTCGTCGAGTTCCTTGGGTGGGTAGGCGATCAGCGCGCGGGACAGGATGCAGATTAAGTGTCTTGCATTTGTTCTCGGTTCGAAAGACGGGAAAACGGCTTTTTTGCCTTCTTCGCATTCTAGGTCGAGGTGCAGGAGCACGTTGACTAACTCGCGCGCTGGGACTGTTAGTGGTGGTTCGGTGACGCCGCGCCGGACGAGGATCTTGAAGACGGCAGGTATGGAGGGGGTGAAGTGGGGGCTGAGGTCGGTGTGGAAGTGGATTATGTTGAAGACGAGCTTGAGGGTTTCGGCGAGCGCCATGAGTTCCATGGGTTGGTTGTGGCCTTTTGCACCTGAGGGGGCGGACTTGGAGTAGCGCTGCGCATGGCGCGTTATGGCCGCGTTGATGCTGGAGGCTAGGGAGTTGGAGCGGACGAGTTGCGCGTAGTCGAGGGTTGTGTCGTAGGTTGTGAGGAAGAGAATGCGGGAGGCGAGGAACTCGTTGTCGATGCTGTCGCTCTGGGAGGTGTTAGCACAGAGGTGTGTATACTTGAACGTCTGCGTACCTTCAGCTTCTCTGCTGCGTCTGGGCCATGGCCTAGATCGACGAGTATCTGGCGCGTCTTGGGTTGGAGGAGAAGGGCGTTGGCTATACACCGAAGAGCCTCTTGCGAGGCGACAGTGGTCTCTCCGTCAAATGCATGGCGTCCTAGTATCCGAAGGCCCTGTAACGGTCACTATGCCGTCCCCATCGCTCCTAGCAAGGTGCAGCGTACATCTTCCGTGAATATGGGATCGGAGTTCTCGACTGATCGGCCGTAGACTTTAAGCTGTTCGAGTAGCTGTTGCTTTTCTGTCCACCCAGTCAGCGCGAGGTATTGCTGTTTAAGGTAGGAGACATGCGCTGAGTAGACAGCTTCTTCGCGTCCAGATCGGCTTTCAACTCGGAAAGGATTCTGGTGACGTCGTCGAGCTTTGCTGTCATGCCGTTAGTAACGAGTCACGTGGAAGGTAGTCCTGCGCAGTAGTACTGACCTGTCCCCGTTCTTTGCGACAACATGGCGGTTGCGTTGCAGGACACCATCAGAGCGCATCACGTCACTCGGGGTTGGAAGCTCGCGCTCGGAAAGCCCCACTACATATTGTGGGACCTGCATCACTGTCGCATTCAAGGGTCCGCATCAACAAGCAACGAACCACAACAGGTGCCATAAAGCAAGTAGCCATAGTCTGTTCACGAGTGCATTGATCGTTTATCGTATTTAGAGCAGATGTTATTCCATCTGGTGTGATGCCTTTACATATGGTTGCAGCATCATGTCATAGAAGCAACATTCAAACACGATATACGTGGATTCTTTGCTTCGTTCTCATCATACCAGAGAACATGACAATATGCGCTGAAGGACTTCTGCACATCAGACTGGCACAACATAACATGTTTCGGACGCAGGGGGCGGGCGCTGGCTCGAGTGCCCGTCGTCCAGTGAATGGCGGTTAAGGTTAGCACTTTACGCGCACGAGGAGCGTCGCGCTAGACGCGTCGCCAACACCAACCTTTGACTTGTAGACCGGGGTAGTCGATCACCTCCACACGCTCGACACATTCACTCACGCATACCAGAGCGATGCCAGCGTCTTCTTGTGCTTTTATTCTCTTTTCTTGTTAGCGGTTCCCAGCATAGCCATGGTGTCGTCCAAATTCGAATCCCTCTCCGTGCGCCCTCCGACTCCACCCAAAGACCAAGAAGACACAGCCGCCGACGAGACGGTGCAATTCCTCCAAGACCCCTTTGGCGAGAAGCCAATCCCGCCCAGGCTTCGAGCAGCGAAGAGAGTGCCCAACACGCCAGAGCAATCGCCGTCGTCCGACATCGACATCCCCTCGAGTTCTGCAAGCGCACGGAAGAGAGTCAACTTCGAGCTGCAGCTATGCGACATACCCACCAACAAGGCAGTCGCGCAGTCCTGGACACCTACGCGTAGCTCACCGCTGAAGCCCCTCCCCCAGAACCGCCTCACCAAGCCGCTCAAGTCGATCCTGAAGCCCTCCGACGGCACGCAGACACCGCCCGCAGAAGACGCTGCCAATCCGCTCAACTACAAGTCATTCGCCGAGATGCTCGACGCGATAGTGAAGCTGCTCGCTTCTTCCGAGCGCGGAACTCGGTTAGATGCATACGGTTCTTTGCAGAGGACAATGCAGGCATACGACAAGATACCCGACCCCCAGGCGCTGAAGCAGAAGATGTCTCTGTTGACCCAGTTTATACGGCGCGACATAACGGCCCCAGGCTTGGGTGGGACAGGGCTGGACTCACAGCTCATCGGACAGGCGATGAAGCTGCTCATGGCTCTGTTCCGCATCACCGACCTGATATCCGCCATGGACGAAGACTTCTGCTCCTTCATCATAGACCGCATCATCCGCGTAGCTTCCGATAGCTCCATGCCCAAGACCACCGTTAACACACACCTGGCTGTCCTGATGCAGCAAAGTTTCCGGCCGAAGACCATGACTGCGACACGCGTCGAGAAGGTGCTCGAGGCACTAGACACCATCCACGAGCGAACATCGGGCCACGCGGTACAGGCATACAGGGTCCGGATATACAGGAAGCTGCTTCAGCAACGCCCGGACGTTATGATCAGGCATACCGAACGATGGTTCACACATACTCTCAAAGCTCTGGTGTCGGTCCAGAAGGATATCAGCCAAAGCGCATTGGACACTGCAGTAACGGCTGCAAAGACCATTGGCCATGACCGACATGTCGCCAAATCCGTCTTGTCTGTCCTGAACCGGGTGAAGAGCGACGGAGGCACCATTGCTAGCGTTTTCGCAGGTGAACTGGATCGTATGCTCGGTGGTGATTACGCCGTCTTGGTCCCACAGATCGTGGCTGCTGTCACAGGTCTACTCAAAGACTCGCTCGATGCGTTCGCAGGCTTGAAGGAATGGCTCGTCCTCATTAACAAGTGCCTGTCATCGGACAACGACCAAGTCCGATTATACTCCAATGTCGCCGTTGCCTTCCTGGCATACTCCGTTAACTTTACCAACTTACCCGAGGAAAAGAAGGTCAAAGCCTGGTCGGGGATGTTCGTTAAAATCTCAGTACATGCACTGCAACGGAAGACCCCAGTAAAGAAAGCCGAGCGCGATGCTGTTTCATCCGCATACTTCACAATGCTGTATTATGCGTTTCGACCAGCAGCCTCTTTTGAACAGTTTGACGGACATTGGACTGACTTCATAGCTGGCCTCTGGAGTCCAATAATCGCAAAGTCTGCTCCGCAGCACGCCATACCATGCCGAATTGTGTCTGCTCTCTTGGATGGCTCTCGGAAACCTTGGAACGAGAATCGGGCGCTAGATCTCAGGCCGAATTTCATGATCCAGCGAGGGGAGCTACCTCTGGTCGATCCCAAGTGGGTACGGAAGTCGATTGCTCTTGTACTAGAGTTTGTGGAGAATATTCTAGAGGCTGCACTCAAGACCGAAAGCAAAGAGCACGAAGACGAACCGTTTCAGACGATGTGGACAGCAGTCATCAACTCTTTGGTGGAAGCAAGCAGCAAGGAGATCATGGCGTCCACAGAAACCAAAGATGCCATGGCACATATCATCAACCTGCTGCGTCGGATCTGGGACAGCCACACGGACAACATTGCGGTAGAACAGAAGAGGGAGGATCTTTGGGCAACCAAGTTCTGCTTCCTGATAGAGACTGTTGTGCAGAAGATGGGCGCTTTTCAGTTCGCAGACAAATGTCTCACACGCAACGCCGACAACGAGATCGAAGTCGCATCGACACCATCACATCGATCACGGCACCAAGGTACCCGATCGTCCCCACTCCTCTTCCTGCTGGACCTTCTCGTCACACAATCAGAAGGAAAGCTAGCTGATCCTGTTCGACTCCGCGCAATGGACGTGATCATCGAACCCTGTTTTGCTGCCCAAAATACTCGGTTGAGCAAGTTGGAGCTTCTTCGAGACTGTGCCGCGACGGTGGATGGCTCGCTGA